GAGAGAGAGAGAGAGAGAGAGAGAGAGAGAGAGAACATTATCAGATCCTCAGTCATTGTGGATATGGCACCCTGGGTATAGAACCCTTCAGTCAGCAAGAAGAACTAGTAGTCTGGGATATTAGGGATGACACCTGGTGGCACAGGGCACAAACAATCATCTAGGGGTGACTGAGGAGGCTGAGGAGAGGCGTGACAGAAAGCTGCAGTCTGCAGTGGTAGCAGCCATAGTGCTGTAACTTAGTTTTGGTGGCTAAAGTAAGAGTAGCAGTAGAAATAAAGTACTTCGAGAGAGAGAGAGAGAGAGAGAGAGAGAGAGAGAGAGAGAGAGAGAGAGAGAGAGAGAGAGAGAGAGAGAGAGAGAGAGAAGCCTGGTAGTGGTGGATGGTACAGCAGGGGGTGGACACTGACTGGACAATGTGTGCCTGCATTGAATAAGACCCCAATCACCTCCTGAAAGTGGATCGATCTTCAGTGAGACCACCCTGCCTGGACGTGCTTCCCTGAACACCTGATCATTTGTCTGGGTCGAAGACACCCTTAACCCCCCTCCCTTCTATGTTTTCCACCACGCTCAGAGCACAAACCTTTCCTCCCTCGGTCAACACCCACTCAAAAAGTCAATGCATCGCTGTGTGTTTTCACTGATTGTACAAGAGGTGTCACTCCTGTTATGATGAGAGGATTAGGACATGGTAAAGATATATCCAAGGGCTTTGTGTAAGATCCATTCCATAGACAGGTGGCATTCATTTCCTTGCCTTGATCACATGGATGGAAGCCAGAGCTAGATGTCCAGTACATCCTGTAGAATATGAGTGTCCTAGACTGTGAGTGGGACTGAGGGATGATAGCCAAGAGTGTTGTGTGGAAAACTAATTTCCTCCTGCTTTTGAATAAAGATCGATCCTCCCACCACATTGTGTTAGATCGTTTACAGTCAAAAAGCTTTAACTAAGCAAGGCAGTTCCTGTTCTCCCTGTTACCCTGCCAATCCGAGTCAAGGACAAAAAAAGTTGGAACACAGGAAATGTAATTAATTAAATGTGAACGGTCACTGAGACCTTTCCTCGATGCACGGTTTGCCAATGACACAGGGTATATGGCGAGTCCATTCTTTAGACCACACGTGTCAAACTCATTCTGATGAATTAAGATCACTAATTAATAAGGAACTCCCCACACCTGGTTGTCTAGGTCTTAATTGAAAGGAAAAAACAAAATCCTGCAGACACTAGGCCCTCCATGGAATGAGTTTTATACCCCTGCTTTAGATGTGAATATAGAGCCTTGTCATGCATACAGTGTATTGTCTCCAGGCGTCTGTCACCTGTCCCTCTATCCCTGTGCAACTGTCCTCTTTTATATGACACTCATCTCACACCAATTAAGCTTATAGACATATTAAAATATCCCTATTAGTGTAATACTATTACTGTAAAACCCAAAGGAATGAACTCATTATGGACTACTGTCCTCTGTACTTGTCTGTGATTGGAGGAGCCAGAGACAAAGACCCTTGATGAACCCCAGGTCTTGTTAGACAGGTATAAAGGCAACTTAAGGTACATTGTTACTATTTTTCTGATATATCTGACTTGTAATGATACCTGGGATAGGATAAGTAATCCTTCTACCCCCCCCCCCCCCAAAGTATGTTTCAAAGGTGAAATCAATTACCTCATACTCTGCAATGACTGAATGTTCACACTGCTCCCTGCAACGCCCTCTACTCCTACAACTGCTCATCCTGTTCTCCTTTACCTGCCCCTCCCCCCCAGTACCTCTCTCCCCCCCTCTCCTCTCCTCTCTCTCTCTTCTCCCTGTGTGGTGTTGTTGTGTGATTGTGTGGGCGGAGATAGGTGTGATGGAGTCAGAGCAGATCCCCACCAGCTGCAACCTGTTCCACAATCAAGACTCTATAAATACTCAGTCCTGCCACTTCCACACTGCCAGATCGTAATCTCTGCTCAGTCAGTCTACGGTTCTATCCGTTTGTTACTATTCATATCCTGTTATCCTGTTGTGCCTGTTTTCCTTGCCTGACGCTGGTTTCCTCTCCGCTACAGTTCTGCCCGCTCTGACTCTGGTCCCTGTCTCCAGTCCCACGTCTCGTCATCCTACTGCTCTGTCCTGGATTCCCCACTCTACTACTCCCTTGGATTCCCCTCCGGACCTGCTCACCCTGTCTCAACCCCCCTCGCTCCAGCCGCAGCCTCCTCACCTGGTTTCCAGCAGTTTCCCCTGACCTGCACTCCATCTTCCCTCTGTGTCTCAATAAATACCTTGGTTACTTCATCCCAGTCTCCTCGTCTGAGTCTGCTCTTGGGTTCCCCTGCTCCACTCTGCGTAACATACTGTATGTTTGTATTTACTGTTCAATCACGTAAAGCAGCGAGTGATAGTTGTGTTTGTTTTGATTGGTCTTGTATTTATTGTATTGTGTTGATGTTATTTTGCTTTATGTTGTATTGAATTGTGTGTTCATGTTCACAAGGCTCCCTTGAGAATGAGACCCTGGTTTCAATGGTGACCCCCCATCTAAATAAAAGTAAAATAAAATAATGTTTAAAAATAATAATAATAATAATAATGGATACTGGTTTCTTCTCCTGCATCGCTCTCTAGTGGTATCTCCTAGACATACAATATGAGACATTCAAGATGAGGCATTCAAGATGAGACACTCAAGATGATATTTTCAAGATGAGGCACTCAAGATGAGTCATTCAAGATGAGGTACTCAAGATGAGTCATTCAAGATGAGGCACTCAAGATGAAAAATTCAAGAAGACATACAAGATGGCATGTGTCTTTTGCAATTGACAGTAACATTTTAATGGGCTACACAGAAAACCCCGGCCCCTTTTGATATCAAAATGATGCAAGACAACCCTACGTTCACAAGAAGAAAAAAAACTTTATTCATTTTCATAATTACAAACAATTTCAAAAGTAACCTAAATAATTAAATTGCTTCAAACTAATATAGATTTGCTCATTGCAAATAATCCAACTGAAAATATATACCAAGCTCTGTTACATTTTCCAAACAAGCAAAATATACAGGAGCAAAAACTGAAAAAAATAACTCACATTTTTGCTACTGCAGCAGCCCAGAAAGAAACAAAATCAAGAAGCAACAATGATTTGTAAATACGTGACAAATGTTCCTTGTATTATATGCACAAGAAAAAACAAAAAATAATAATTGCACATCATTCCCTTATTATTGCATCAGTTGCATTTTAGTCTGTTTCAGTAGGTGTGTTATACTCAGTCATATACGCCAGTGTAAATACAGTTTCAATACACTGTAACAACATATGGATATTGAAGTTATTGAAATCACATTGGCATCACTATTTCAACAATTCAATATTCCTGCCTAGTCTGAATGCAATCCATGATGAGAAGCAGAACAGTTCTAAAAAGCGAGCTTGCCAAAGAAAATATACATTTTAACTTGTTTAAATGACAAACATTCCATTGAATTACAAGCTATGACAAATTTGTAAATTAAACGAATAACACAAACCCATAATATCAAGGCTAGCACTACTACTTAAGTTTAACATCAAAATGTAAGTATTATTGCAGAATAATAATCAACTATGCATCGTTCAGTACATCAGTACAGCATTTGGTCCATTGACATATCACGTTTATATGATGAAAGCGATTGAAATTAGACCCAAAGTCAGGCTCAGCATATTGAAACCAAAACAGGGAGTTACATGAAAGTAGCCAATCTTACAGAATGAAAATCCACACCAAGATGGTTTTTACTGTACTTGAAACCAGTTGGACAGTGAATGAATGACCTGTGTTGAGAGGATAACATTCAACGGCTGTTCATATGCATCAATGCTGAATATGACCTCAGCCCAAGCTTGCAAACATGACATGTCACAACCGCCTATACTTTGAATAAGCTTGAGAATTGTTATGAAGGGAATCTTACATGTTTAATCCAAGCAAATATAGCCCAAACCTACCCTGAAATCCAATACAGTACACACAAAAAATTCTAGCTTAAATATCCTGATCAACGAAAAAAGTCATTATAATGCACCAAGAAACCATAAATAGAATTGTAATTTTTTGTTTTTTAAATCATCACTTAAAATGAGCAACATGACTTTGTCATTTAATCTGTTGACATCGTCGTAAAAGCATAATGACATTCAAAACCTAAAGCATTAAATAATAAACAATACTATAATAAAAATAACATGATGGATGAACAATCGCGAAAGTGGCGGCATGGGAGTAGACACGTCCGCCCAGGCCCCACGGGTTCCCCCATGAACCCCAGAACATTCCATGGCCCATAAACATTTGGCTCCATCCAAAAACCTGTGGCCAATAATATCAAGCAGCTTCCTCCCCTGGTCTCCTTTCCTTCAAGAGTAGTACATTGAAGCCTTTTTTACCTATCGTGGACATGGGAGTGAAGGAGACGATGAAAGGAAGCCAGCTAAGAGAATTTGGACACAGCAATAGTCTTAAGTCCAACTAATTCCTCACATACTAGAGGCAGTCCACAGTATAATGAAGAATTTAATTGTCTATTGCATGAGCGTAGCATAGCTGACTATGTGGTCACCCACAGTAGTCTTGGTTAAGAAATCGAGTTAACAATCATTTTAGTTTTCAGTCAGTTAGGATACAGTTTTTAGCCACTGATGATTCTTTTCTTGAGTAATTTCCTTTCATGCTTCTAAAGTACTATTAATAGGGTTCCTGGAGGTTGTGAGGGAGAGTTATTCATTTGGGGTAGTTGTAGGACTAGACGTGAATGGCAAAAAAAGGTCATGAAAATACTTGCGGAAAAGGTTTGGAGCGGTGGAGGCTGGTGGGAGGAGCTGTAGGAGGACGGGCTCATTGTAATGGCTGGAATGGAATTCATGGAACAGTAGCAAACACATCAAAGATATGGAAACCACACCTTTGACTCCGTTCCATTAATTCCATTCCAGCCATTACAATGAGCCGTCCTCTTATAGCTCCTCCCACCAGCCCTAACATAGCAACACCATATGAAGGAACACATACACCGAACTGGAATACTCAAATACATACAATACATTACTGAACACATGCAGTATAAGTCATAATGTAAAATACAGGAAATGAACATAGAAAGGAGGGCTCTAGGAGTGATACCATTGGCTCAAAGGGGTCATGTGATGCAGCAAAGAGTTATGGGTAGAGATCAGATTAGTACGTAGATCATTTTAAGGATCCGAATAATGGTAAAAATAGAATGATTTAATTTAGATAAAAATACCTCTTTTCAAAAGAGCATCATGAAGTAATCATTGGGCTACATCCCACCATACTGTGCCGATAGCATCACCCAGCACCTAGAAAATGAAACAGTAGCAATTTTTTCCAATGTTTTCACACTTTTACATTTTTTTTGTAAAAAAATTTCAAACTGATATTGAAATCCTATTTTTGTAACACTAACAGAGATAGAGATAGAGATAGAGAGAGATAATGCAGAATAACACAATTTGATCCTAATGAACATTCAACATGCTTCAACACTTGTCTAAAGGTCTAAAATCAATGAAAACAAAGACATTTCTTATTTTTCAGTTTCTCTGAAAGCAACAACTCCCTTATTAGAGAGCGATCATGGTAGTAAGCTGGAGGGTCGAGGGAGTTCTTATCAGAGCCAGATCCATTAGTCTAGAGGGCATCATCATCAGGAGTTCGGTAGGAACATCATGTCTTCAGTGGTCAGGAGATGGAGGGAGAGGAGCAGAGTGAGTGGAGGCCGGCCAGGCTGGGTCCTCAGGATGTCGTCATGGAGGATGGGTCATTCCACATGGCCGCCACGTCTCTGAACCTGCCACAGGGCATGATGGGAAAGAGAGTACATATTTGTTTCTGTCAAATACTTCACCTGAAGATAATGTAATAACAACAAACAGACAAACAGATTATCCCCCAAGGACAACAGGTGAACTATTGACCCCTTTGTCAATCGTTATGTGTGTGTGTGTGTGTGTCAGGACTCTGACCTTGCGTTGATGAGGTACTGTGCCAGACTGATGTTGGCGGGGGTTCCTGTGATGGTGATCTGGCGCTCCGATGACCCTTCCATGGCGTTAGCAATTTTGATCTGCGCCCCAGACATCTGACGGATCTCGTTGATTTTGGTTCCCTGGCGCCCGATTATGCAGCCTATTAGCTGGGAAGAAGAGGCGGAAGGACTTAAAACAGGGGAATAGCAAAGTCTGAACGGAATGCATACAAAGTCACACGCACCATGACACACTGACCCCTTTCTTCTATTTGTCTCTTTTTACAAATATATCCATGGTGGTACATTTTTGTTCAACTATTTAGTGACTATTAGTCAAATCCCCTTCCCCATTCCCTTACATGGCAATAGATGACAAATGTAAAATGAAAAGCTCCATGGTCCCCATACTCACATCATTGGGAATGGTGAGTTCATGAGTACTGGCCTGGTTACTGGCATCCAGACCTGCTATATGGGTGAGAGAGAGAGAAAGAGAGAGAGGGGGGACACGGCATAAAATAGAGTTTTGCACGGGAGGGTGACGTCCGCTGTGAGTGACAGTTAGCTTTGGTGACCTATAGCCGGAACCCTGATTGGAGTTGCTTCTGCAGAGGTCTTGAGAGAGCAGGCTGTGGCTTCTCCTTCTCTCTTGAAAAGGGGGTTCATTCTCAAACCAGAGGAGATTTACCCGCTGACCCAGATAAAACTAACTTGGAAGGACCAAAATCTTCAAGGCGCTACAAAAGCAAATTAAGAAAATATATATATATATATTTTATAAACTACAAATAAAACATAAACGTCAACAAGAGCAACCACCAGGTGGCCATGTCACTGGAAGCGCACAAAGAACGACAGGAAGAGAAAGAACAAAGAAGACAGATAGAGGAAGAGAGAGAGAAAGAGGAGGAAGTGTGTGTGTGTGTCTCTACAGGTAAAAAAGAGAAGGAGATTTGGTAGAGGGTGGTTCTCGTGTAGGTGGGTACGTACCGGGGAAGGCAGGGGTGGTCTGTCCAAGGGGATTAAAGGGGGTTTGCTGCATAGCCAACTGGTGGAGCTTGGTCAACTGCTGAGGGGGGTAGGAGGGACAGCAGAGCTATGAGGGCATCGTTAAAACACACACACACACACAGGTCAGGTCTGTCACCAAGAAACACTACAAGAAGAAAGACAGGATTCAGGAGAAGCAGTGACACATATAGGAGGAGGAGAGAGAGAGAGAGAGAGAGAGAGAGAGAGAGAGGAAGAGAAAAGGAAACTCATAGAGGACTTGGCCCGAGTCGGTGAAGAAAGAATGTCTCTGTGTGTTTGGATGGTGCCATGTGAAATTTTGTTCATGGATGTCTGTGTCTGAAACACTTGGACCCAATGTGGCGTTATAAAACATACCATGTCCATTTGACTACGTTGAGGTATTCCTTGAAATTGACCTCCTCCTCCCTGAAGAAATATTGCATTAGTACGACTTAATTTTCACGTTCCTCACTTGAGCAACCGGTATCCTTATTATTCTGAGTGACGGATAAGGAAATAACTGTTTTATTTCTGTATCCCTCTGCTAGTTTTTCTACAGGCCAAGTTCTATGAAGTTTGGCTCCAAATGGAGGACAGAGGTTATGAGTAATTTCAGATTTGAAAGAGACAGAAATTACTTTTCAGAATTGGTAGTATTAATATTATGGGTTAATATTAATAGGATTGGACAGAGAGACTAGAGCGTAGAGAGAAGACTGTATCATGGGATCAGAACTCACATCAGGGTGAGGGATGGCGTATTGTCCCTGAATGGTGTAAGCCTGGAAGGAGAGGAGGGAGAAACATACAACGCTATTAGAATCTTCTGATGGAAGCGGCTAAGTCAGCGTTTCCCCAAACTCGGTCCTTGGGACCTCAAGGGGTGCACATTTTGATTTTTGCCCTAACACTACACAGCTGATTCAAATGATCAACGCTGGATGATTCGTTTATTATTTAAATCATCTGTGTAGTGCTAGGACAAAAATCAAAACGTGCCATTCTTGGGGTCCCGAGGACTGAGTTTGGGAAAGTCCTAGTCCATGTACTTCCACTATACCTCCACTAGGGGCAGTAGTAGTCTACATCCATGAGCCCACATCTATCAGAGTCATATTCACTGATTCTAGTCACTTGACAACTCTTTCAGTATTCTCTTAGCAGGGTTGGTTCAATTCCATTTCAATTCCAGTCAATGCAGAAAGTAAACCAAAGTCCAATTCTACATTTCCCTCATTGAAAAGCATTGGAAATTGGAATTTCAGTGTACTTCCTGAATTGACTGGAATTGAAATGGAATAGAGCCCCAACCCTGTCTTACTTAGTATCATCTCTTATGGCAATCAAGTTAAATTCATGTCAAAATTAAACATACAGCGCTAGCAAAAAAAGATCTATGAGCAACCTTGAAAAACAGTTCAGATATCATATCCCTTGTATTGAGTTGAATATTGAACATAACTGTCTACTTCAGTCTCTGACCACTTATGTGGCTCCATTTTTTCAAGTCACCATTTGTGAAACTTGAGATAATGCCATACTACAGGCAATTATTGATAAAGAAATGTGATATAATATCTGTTTGGAGGGAGTTGGACAAACAATGGGAGCTTGCACACAAATACTTTGCTGACGTACTAAACATGTTACAGATCTTTTTCTTGGGTAGTAGGGCGATGTTAATTGTTTGAAAGAAACAAAGTGGTAGGCTTACAACCTCTTTTATTTTAATTTTATTTACAATAATAACTGCTCTCTTTAATCATGTTGCAAGGTCCTCCATTGTCCTCTAGACTCCCTCTCTAGTTCTTCACCCCTCACATCAATCAGGTTCAGGTTAACTTCACTGGCTGAGAACAGCCAGGTGGGAGTGGCTACGGTGAGGGTTGGGGAGAGATGTGATTGGAGGAAGGAGTCGAGGACCCCCTGTCAGGGGAATGTGATTGGACCTAATTGATGTGTGCTCATCGGGGTTCACAGCGTGGTAATGGGGTCAGAACTGGGCTGAATTCCATTTCAACACCAGCCAGCACAGAAACTCCATCCAACATCAAATTAGATTTGTATAGTTTTTTAAATAAATAATATATATATATGTTTAGGATGAAGTCCTGAGTCAACTGGCGCTGAAATGGCAGCTAGCCCAGTTCTGATGGTGGTAGTGGTGATGATATCATGCTAGCAGAGGCAGTGGTGGTGGTGAGGAGATGAGTGATAAAACCTGGAAGTGACACTAACAGGCAGTGGCTGGTGCTGCAGTAAGAGGCTGAGGTTGGCGGTGGAGGCCCCCAGCGGGTCGGCTCTTACCTGGCCACCTGAAAAAATGATGGGGGTGGAGGCAGGCTTGGGGCGGTAGGGGATAGTGGCACCTTTCGGTGGGGACTGAGGAGAGGGAGGAGAGGGGAAGAGGGGAAGAGAGAGTGTTAGAGCAGTGGGGTGGGGGATAAAGTAAAGAGAGAGAGAGAGAGAGAGAGAGAGAGAGAGAGAGAGAGAGAGAGAGAGAGAGAGAAGAGAGAGAGAGAAGAGAGATTATCAGAGAAGAGCTCGCCTCCTAGAGACGATAAGATACTCGAATGCTAGAACTAACCGCACCGCCCAGCGATACATGCCAGCCTCGCTCGATCCTATACCGCCCGCCTCTACTCTACTCTCCCGCCTCTCCGCTCCCTCCTCGCCGCTCCCTCCTATCGCCTCGCTCTCTCTCGCGCTCTCTCTTCGCTCGCTCTCTTCCTCTCCTCTCCTCTCCCCTCCCTCCCTCTCCTCTCCCGCCTCTCCTCTCCTCTCCCTCCTCCTCTCCCTCGCTCCTCTCCTCTCCTCCTCTCCTCTCCTCCAGGAAGAGGTTTTGTAGACTGAGGGACAGTGCCTTGGGAGAAGACAGTCTGTGACACTCACTACATCACACTGTTGTTCTTTACTGTGGATGCATGCAGCGACATAAAATAGGTGTTGTGTATAGAGCACACTGACAACTGAAATCACATTATTTTACCTCATAGGTAGGCTATTTCATTGCAACCTGGGAAGTCATCATCTACAACATTGTCATAATCATTTTGTCCCATGGTCTATACCGACCAAGATCCTAATTCCTCCCTTAGATGTTCGAGATGGTAAAAACAATTGTACATCCACGTTGTATGTTCTAGCTGATTCCTAAGGTCTGTGTGAATGTATTTTTCCTGTGTATTTCTGGGTGGACTGAATCAGACCCTCCTCCTTCATCCCTCCATACTCTACCTCTAGCATGACCACACAGATCTGCTTGACACACTGGATAATGGCTTCCGGGGCCCCTGAGATGGTGACTGCTCGTTCAGTGGAGTTGGGCAGCATGTCCCCTGCTACCTGTACCTGAGCACCTGTGGACTGAAGTGGGAGGACTGTTATTAAGCATGTGTACTGTGGAAGGTGCAATGAAAAATAGCTGGTCCTCAATCCGGATAGGAATGATTCCTCTACAAACTACTGTTATCAATAGTAAAAAGAATGTACTGGCTGTATATGTATTTTTTGCCAATTAATCATTAACTAACTAATAAATTGTCAAGCAAATTCAATCAATCATTATCACTAATTATGCAATTTTCTACCTCTCTCATTTCTTTGATCTTGGAGCCTCCTTTCCCTATGAGGGAGCCACATTGGCTGGCTGGGACCACCAGACGCAGGGTGACAGGAGGCTTGCTGGTGGCTGGACTGTTGCTCATGGAGTTGATTATATCCTGGGAAGAAATCATAAAGATCATATTAGTATAAAAGTATTGTATTAAAATACCTGGTTTAACAGGTAACATTGTACATTTAAGCATGACCAAGAGGAGATCGAGGGAAATATGTATGCTAGATACCTCTTCGAACTTGTATGCGATCATGGCGAAGGCCTTGAAGATGGCATCTGTGGGTCCGGTGATGGTAACTATCCGCTCTGGGCAGTTTCCCTCAGAGATGTTGATACGTGCACCGCTCTGTGGATCAAACAGTAGACACAGTTATAGAAATAAAGTAGATCATTAAGTATTAAATAAAATACTATCCATTTACCATGCATACTTAAACTGGGTAAGGTGCATTATGGGATACATACTGCGCTTACCTCTTCACGCATCTTCTTCACTGTCTCTCCTTTCTGAAAAGACAGACAACAGACAGACAACAGACAGACAACAGACAGACAACAGACAGACAACAGACAGATAGCAGTTAAAACATCGGAGAGATTTTGTTTAGAATACTCATCTTAAAACAGTTTGTAATATTCATATGATTGTGATGTGTTTATGAACATGATAGTTACCTTTCCAATGATGCTTCCAACCTCCTGCAAAGAGACAGAGGTTCAACAATAGTTAGCATCAACGTCCAATTCAATACATGACAGAAACTATCCCAAAAACCTTGAATAGCGACCTCTCCTTGTCTCCCTCACAACCACAGATCTAAAAACACTTGATAGCCAACGGTGGTCGTGAAGGAGATAAGGAGATAACGAAAGGAAGCCATATGAGGGTATTGGAACCAAAGTAAAGGAAACTATCTGAGAGTATTGGAACTGTACCTTGCCGTGCATCAGGAGCCTGATGGTGAGGGTGACGTTGAGGCCTCCTTCGCCTGGCTGCTGCACCTTGGGTGGTTCCATGTTGGGATTGGATGTGAAGGAAGGGGTGTGGTCACGTAAAAGAAGAGTCCCAGGGCCAATGAGAGTGTGATGGAACAGCCAGCCAACCAGTCACCTGCAAGACAAGAAGGATGAGACACGCCCACTCAATATCAGGCCCACTGGAAACAGAGGTACCAAACTACCACTGGATATCATTGATGGATTGAACCAGCTCATGGATACCATTCGAGTTCTGTTCAGACAGGAAGAGTTTTATAGACTGAGGGGCGGACAGTGCTTTGGCAGAGGACAATCTATAACTCACTACAGATCTGGGATCTTAATTTGACCTATATTGTCACAGCAAAAGAATCCCGCAGCAACAGGATTTTAACGTTTAGTCCATAATGTTGCTTGATCAGTGGTTAGACTATTAGCTGGACAAAAGTAGGCTACATGAAAAGTGCAATACTGTTAATATAACAGTGTGTTAGTGTGGGTTTTCAGTGAATTTATGTAAATTATTAAGCTCATCTGCATTTCAGAGCAACAAAAGGGTGATCAAATTAAGATCCTACACCTGTACATCATAAAAGTGTAGGGACAGGGACACCAACCCAGAACTAAATGAGCTAAAGCTGTCATAAGTGACTAGGAAGGCCATGACAGGGTTGGTTGGTTGGTAGCTGCATTTCATGTCCTTTTACCTGTTTTTCTATTTACATTTCTTTGTTTATATCCATAAAAATGATACTGGTTCATGATTTCGACTGGCTGAGAAAAGATTTCCCATTCATTCTATCGGTTTGGTTGACAAAGACACGACCCAGTCGTGAAGTCTTTTTGTTCTACATCTATGGACACGAGCCAGTCGTTCATTCTAAATGTTCTGTTGCCATGATGGCTGGCAACGTTCTTATCACTTGCTTGCTAGCCAACTATGGCTAACACAGTCATGTCAAACCGTGCAGCTAGAATAACAGCAAAGTTTCTGCATTTAATTTCTTTGTATATATCCATAAAAATTATGTTTGATTTCGACTGGCTGAGAGAACGCGTCCTGACACGTTAATTCTCAATAGGACAGTGGAGATCAAATGTCAATATTGAAACAATGTTGCAAATGTAGAGAGACAGACAGCAACGTTTGTACAAAAACCAAATGTTAGGCTAGAAGCAAGGGGAAATAATGTCTAGATGCTTTTTACAGTGGAGATCAAGTTAATGATATGGCTGGCTGGGCTGATGGGACACTGGATACGTAGGGATTTCTCAGATGGAACAGAATACAAGACACTCATTTTTACGTCATAGGCTTACCTGTGCTAAACCGTTTTTTTAGTATGGCTTAGAACGCGTCTCAACCAATCACAACCCATTGTAGAAAGACAGAGAACCAGAGGTTGTATGATAAGCCAAACAGAGAGAGCGGGAGGCCACGGGAAGTCTCTGAGAAAAGGGAGGAAAGGGTTCTGCAACCAGCTGTCTCTCTCCAATATCCCAGAGGTCAGATTACATAAAAAGCCTTAATCGGGGTTTAAGAGCCAGGCCAGTGGTGCAGGTCTGCCACAGGGCTAGGGCAGGGACAGAGATAAACCCAGTGGTGCAGGTCTGCCACAGGGCTAGGGCAGGGACAGAGATAAACCCAGTGGTGCAGGTCTGCCACAGGGCTAGGGCAGGGACAGAGATAAACCCAGTGGTGCAGGTCTGCCACAGGGCTAGGGCAGGGACAGAGATAAACCCAGTGGTGCAGGTCTGCCACAGGGCTAGGGCAGGGACAGAGATAAACCCAGTGGTGCAGGTCTGCCACAGGGCTAGGGCAGGGACAGAGATAAACCCAGTGGTGCAGGTCTGCCACAGGGCTAGGGCAGGGACAGATTACACCCCCTAAGACCAAGAGCAGGGGGGGGGGTTGGGGGGCTGGGGATGCACCTGGGGTGTGGTAGGCTGGCTGAGACCGTAGCCCAATGGACTGCTGGAGCCAGGGGTTACCGGGGTTATTTTGGTGATGGAACTAGAGGAGAGGATGCAACCTCTCTCTGTGGTATGGTAATATAAATACTGGTGTATATGTAGCTACCGCTCCTAGTCTTTCTGAAGGCATACATGGTGATGGAAATGCCTTCCAATTGAGGTTGGCTATTTGAAGCATTCTTCAAGTCATTACACAAAAAGCGGCATGCAGAAAACAAATCCTATAGACGTCAATCAGTCCACTCCTCCTGAGAGCCATCATGTGAGGCTGAAATGAGAATGCATTTTCTCTCGTGTGCCTGGTGGTGTGTTTGAATAGCTCTCCTACCATCCACCACTTTCTCCCTCATCCACTGGAGAACAATAGAATTAGGTCACAGACTCATGATTCATCCATGCCCCATCCATGCCTTCCAGTCAACTTGCTTTTTATTTCAACAGATAAATATTAGGCACCATTCTCGGACCTCTATTTGAAAGAGCGGCAGCATTCAAAAAAATACATTTAAAATGCAAAATCCTGTTTTATCTCCAAATGTGCCTATTGTGTCCCTTGGTTGAATGATATTTAATTGAATCCCAAATGGTTAACATCAGTTATGTATTAGAATGTATTAGTAGGGTATGCAATTTAGGACACAATACCACCGTATTCAATGAGTGAGGCAACAGAGTGAAGGTTCATAAATGCATCCGACCGAACACTACATTATCAAAATCCAGTGTCTGCATTCGACCAATAGTGTTTTCAAGTGTATTTTCGATGCACTGGACAATGTATTTGTTGACCATGCTCTATCTCCCTTGTTAACGGAGTTATTACATCAACAAGTGCATCCGACCGAACACTCATTATCAAATCCAGAGTCTGCAGAGAATACGAGAGTGTTTCAAGTGTGGAGAGAGAGAGAGAGAGTTTCGAGCACGGGCAATGAGTAGTGACCAATGAGCTCATCGCCTTGTATAACGGAGAAGAAGATTATTACACAACAACAGTTAAATAAAGACAAAAAGAGAGAGAAGAGAAAGGAAAAGAGAGAGAGATAGCGAAGAGCGAGGAGAGAAGAGAAAGAGAAAGAAAGAGGTAGAGAGAGAGATAGAGAGAGAGCGAGAGAAAGATAAATAGAGAGAGAGAGAGAGAGGAAGAGAGAAAGAGAGAAAGCGATAGAGAGAGATACAGAGAGAGAGAGAGAGAGAGAGAGAGAAAGTGGTAGAGAGAGAGCAGTATTTCTCGTGACATCTGATGTAGTTAGTAAGTGGGTCAGAGAGAGCTGTGTTGAGCTGCAGAGCTGCTGGCCTCCTCCTCTATGGTGCTCTGCTATTGAATTAATCACGCTTTACGCTCGGCTGGACAACACCGCGCACAAAATGGCTCTTCCTTTTCTTTCATCTCTCCCTCTCTCCCTTCGTCTGCTGCCCTGCCTGCCCTCAGCCCAGTACAGAACAGACTGCATGCTGCAGATTCACTCCTAGAGAAGAAGCCTGTCTGTCTTTCTTTTCATTTCTTAGCTCTTTTATGTAGAGCTAACAATGGAGGAAGATTCCTCTTATGTAGGCCCACTGGACTGTGAGTGAAGAGAACACTTTAGTAAATATGAAAAGAGAGGTTTGTGAAAATAGCTGTCTTCAGTATCCGAAGAGGGTGGGCAGGAGAGAGAGAGAGAGCGTTTTGAGTGAGTACAGTAACGGCCCCTCACTGAGACAGGTGAGTCTTAAATAGAAGTGACCCAAGCACTGATCACCTGAAATGATTCTGTCAGCACTCAGGAAGATAAGAAGAAAAGGAGAGAAAGATATTTGATAGAATTGAGAGACATCACCCGGGAATGACAGAGAGGCCGTCCAGAGGCCTTGATAAGTGCTGGGCTACAGAAAGGAATCCCAGCACTGCAGTCTTATTATGCACTGTAGAAACGAGCCAGCAATTTTCTCTGCAGTGTTGCCTCACCTTATCCGGCCTCACTGCTGCCTTTCCCTGCTTCTGGTCAGCTGTGTGTGAGTTGGTGCATGTGCTTGTGTGTACTGTATGCTTGCTCAAGCTTAGACCTGTGAGAACACGCAATCAGCGTCTTTAATATTTCCTTATTGGAGATTGTGTTGGAAAATGTGTTTTGTTTGAAAATCTCCGCAAAGTCTGAGACGAATTATTTGAAACATCAAACCAGGCTCTTACAGCGCACGTGAGAGAAAGACTGAGATCTGTAGGAATGGGAAAATGGAGGACAGAACTCGCAGTATAATCTAGGCCAAAGCCCCGTCATCTGTTCCATTTTAATCCACCGAGCTAGAGATATGTCATTATAATTTTGATATAAACCCTCCATAAGCATACACTTGTAAACCAAAGCCGTAGAGAGAGAGAGACCACTAAACTGAGACTGACGGTGGCTCAAGACATTGGATCTTCACAAGCAGTGCACCCCACATTCATATACTCTGTATGTTTGCCTGCTCCGACTCAAATTGACCCTGATTCTACAAAGGACCTTTGAGCTCAATCATTGAGTAATTAATAGAGCATAAGTTAACACACAAGCAAACTAGAAAAGAGCATACATATGTTACACATGGCACACAAATCGTAGCTATATTCTCTTTGGTTGGCCACGTTTTCTGGTAAAGAGGTGAATGACGCAGCATTGTAATCTGTTATGAGGAGCCAAGAGAAGTGCCCGTCAGAGATCAGACTGCCAGTCCATTCTACATTCTAACCCCACTAACCAAACTTTTCATTAGGAAAATAGCTGCAATGAACCACTCACTAAAAGCAAGTCAGCACCCTCAAATAGCACCAATATGCCCCCTCAATCACCTTTGACCTCTCACTTCTAACCTTTTAGACGGACTATGTTGGGCAGCATTTGGGGGTGCCTTAAGGATGTCCCATGCATCCTCAATACCATGAGGATGCAACAGCAGGAAACCCCATATGAAGAACTCGATCTGCTTTAATGACTCATGCAGAACCATCTCCTGCATGACTGAGCCTGTCACTAAAATCACCATTCCACTTCTATTAGATTCTAACGCTGGATAAAAAATGGCCTGCAGTAAGTAAGAGGAAA